TTCTGGGTTTCCTGTCTTAGTTGGGAAGTTCTTTTTTTCTTTTTTTACATTTAATTTTTGAATCCATCCTAAATTTAGCTTCTCCTAAGGTATAAAATTGAAGCCCTACTTTATAAAATTGCTCTTTAGTTTTCCCAGAATAATTTATTAAGTGAGGCCCCTTTGCTTTGAGACATCTCAGGCGTTCCTTCAACACACATCAGCTGTGCTGGGCACTAGGCCCATCACGACAGAGGAGGGGTTCGGGTCATGTTCCAGGAGGGCTACCTGGACAGATGATTGGCTCTAAGAGTCTAAGTTCAAAATCAGCACAGAATGGCTCACAGGACAGGCTCTGTGAGATGTCCCAGAGAAATGACTCCCAAGTCAGCAAGACCTTTAAGGGGAGCATGTGCCAATCACGGAGGGGCTGGGAAACTTGTAAAAATAAAAAGGCAAAGTCAAGAGGACTATCTGGGGGAGAAGGGGCACTGGTTAAGATTTTGGTGGCCTGGACGCGAGTGAGGCCTCCTATACCATTCTCACGTGCAGCCCCCCTGGCTGGGATGCCAGCTCAGCCGGTGCCCGCAGCTGGCTCCTGGTGCAGCTGGGCCGTGGTGAGCTGCTGTTAGCGTTCCAGCCCCCCAGACCGCTCATGTTCTCGTTCATTCTGCAAGTAGTTAGGAGTCAACACAAATGATAAAGCCCCTGTTCTCGAGGGGCTTGTTCTCTAGTGGAGGAAGCAGACCAGAAACAGGAAAAATGAATAAAACATGTAGGCTGTTAGCTAGTGATGGGTGCTAAGGAGAAAACCGAATCTGGGAAGGGAGATAGGAAGTATGGAGGGAGGCATACGATTTTTAAAAAGGTGACCAGGGATGACCTCACTTAGAAGGTGACATCTGAGTAAAGCCCTGAAGGAAGCGAGGGTGTGACTGACGCAGATAGAGCAAGAGCCTTCCATGGGAGAGGGTGGGCAGTGCAGCCTGAGGAGTGGCCTGTGTGCAGCCCAGCGTGGCCAGAGCCCAGGGGACCGGGCAGGGTGACTGGAGGTGATGTCACAGAGAAAATGGGCCAGACACCGTAGTGTCTCACANGGGCAGGGTGACTGGAGGTGATGTCACAGAGAAAATGGGCCAGACACCGTAGTGTCTCACAGGTCATTATAGGGACTTTGGCTTTTTCCTTGGGTCAGATGAAAAGCCTTTGTAGGGTTTTTAATGAAGGAACAACATAATCTCAGTGGGTTACTTTTTTTTTCTAAGACTATTTTTTAAAGCAATTTTAGGTTCACAGCGAAAGTGAGCAGAAAATACAGACAGTTCCATACGCTCCCTGCCCCCAGCTCCCCTGCCATCAGCATCTCCCCAGAATGTTGCATCGATGGCAGCAGATGAACCTGCACACCCAACGGCCTAATCACCGGAAGGCCACAGTTTGCATCAGGGCTCACTCTTGGTGGGGTACGTTCTGGGGGTTTTGACAAATGTCAATCAAAGTTGAGAGAAGTTCCCCTCTATTCCTAGTTTGGTGAGAATTGTTTAAAATCATGAATGGGTGTCGAATAGAATTTTGTTAAATGCTTTTTCTGGTCTACTTTTTAACAGTTGAAAATTTCCTGGACCAGCCCATGGCTCACTCGGGAGAGTGCGGTGCTGATAACAC